CTATCCAATTAAGATCCAATCATTGTAATTTGAAATGGAATGTTGAATCCATTAGAGATGCTTTTAATGTACAGGGTGATTGAAAAGTAACTCCCTATTTTATGTATGATGGATTCTCCTGTCTAACTATAATTTTTACAAGACAGGAAAGTCCATCATACATAAAATAGGAATATTCTTTTTCTCTTGAAGTATATTGCCTGTAATTTAAGTGGATCTAAGGTAAACATTGACCACAAGTAAAAGACTAGATGGATGTAAATCAGTTGATACTTGATCTACATTTAACTGATTTCAGCCCCCCCCCAAATGTCCTATACTTGTCCCCATGGAAATAATGTTCTTTACTCACCACTTAGGCTAAGTGGCAAAAAGATAGTTTTTTTCATTTAAAAAAAAAAATGAACAGCTTGTAATGTTACTACTACTGTGGAGTAATTGAGCATGATCATATCTGATCCAACTGTTGTTCTGGATTTTTCTAAGTAGATTTGTATATGTTCCATCCAGTCATCTAATCTTTGAAGGATATATTATCAAGACACTCAGCAAATGCCTGAAACTATGGTTGACACTGAACTATATATATAATTTGGGGAGCAATTTTTAATTTATTCATGTTTGATTAAAAACCAATGAAGGTTCTGTATTGATCATTTTTTTATTTACTTTGTCAATATATCTAACTTTTTTGATTTTTAGTTGTTATTGATAAATAATACTTCCCATATCAGTACTTTTGGATAACACTAGCCATTTTCAAAAACATTTGTTTGTTACATCATCAGTTTAATTTCATTAAATTTCATATTTTGCATATTCACACAAGAGTTACTCTACTTTATATATATTATATACAAATGAAATGAGAACAAAAATATAAATTCAAAGTTCATAACATTAATTTAAAAATAGTGCTCAATACAATAGTAGAGCAATATTCTTTATTATAAAATATTACATTCGAACATATGTAAAATAGCCATTTTACATATGTTCGAATGTAGTATCTTATAATAAAGAATATTGCTCTTCTATTTATTTATTCACAAATTTATTCATGTTTCAATGCATATCATCGCATCTCATCAGAAACATGAATGCATTTATGTAGTGGTTTTACATATGTTCGAATGTAATATCTTATAATAAAAAAATTGTGTGTGTATGTATGTATATATATATATATATATATATATATATATATATATAAATATATGAACTAATTTTTGCCATAAATACATCCCTGTGATAAAGTTTAATTTATAAATGAAGAACAGTAAGAGATTCATAACATAATAATAGAATAGAATAATTATAATTCTATACTGTTATAATTTATGTAAAGAGAAAGATTTCCTCTTTCCATAGAAAGTGTTTTTCCTTACTCAGTAATGTCTGTTGTAATGACAGTTGCCTTCCATGATTTTTTTTAAGTCAAGCACTTCACTTTTGCATTTAAAAGAAATGTTGTATAATTTCTCTTTGGCATATCCAAATTGCCTGCATCCACTATTCTTGCTATTTTAGGTTCATTATTGAGTAAAGTGTAAATGTTTTCTCCACCAACAACAGAATAGACAACTGAAGCATTTCAGTTATTTTGCATTTTCATGGTCAGCTGCATCCTGGCTAGGGGCCAGGCATTGCTGATAGATGAGTGATTTTTATCAAGTCTTATGACCACATCATGTTGAAACACTGATTTCCGTACGATCAATGAAGTTAAGCAACATTGAACCTGGTTAGTACCTAGATGTTTAACTTCTTGGGGATACATGGTGCTGTAAGCTTAGCTGTGCAGGTGGGTCTAATGGATAAGAGCTGAGAATTGTTAATTAGAAAGTTATGAATCCACCTGTTCCTCTCTTTTCTATGAGTTAATTAGTAAGACTTGTATCACTGAACAATTATTATCTAAAAAAAATAATCAATCAGTCAAGTCACCATCTTTAGAACGGCTGCCAACCAAGGCTATAGAACCCAGTCTATCCTGTTATTTAACCCAGACCTAGGGGTAGAATAGGTGGATTCATACCTTTCCTAAAGGTATTTGGGTGTAAGTGAATGTAACAAACTTGACTAGAATTCGAACTAGGCTCTCCAAATTCTCTGAGCTGCAATTCATTACACCACCTGCACATCCACTATTATTAAGTAAAATTTATTGTTTATTTCTGGAGTTGCCTTCTTGTCACTGAAACCATGGATATTTAGGGAGGTACCACTATATATTGTTTCATATTTAAAATCTGCATATAATAATTCAATAGAGAACAAAATCTGTGACCTTTCCTCTTCTGTGTACAGAAACATTTCTGTACTTGTTGATGTTGTTACTCTTTCTATGTTTCTTGGTCATTGAAATAATGCAAAATGTCTCAGAATAAAATTGATGTATTTTCTTTCTCCAAACAGGGAACAAATCAACTGACTACATTTGAAGGTCAGCTGACCAGCACTAGTAGAAGCAGTGGTAGCAACAGCAATGCTCAATTGTACATGGAGAATTGTCACTGGGTTCGAAGTCATCTCCTTGGGACTGGAGCTTTTAGTAGTTGCTACCAAGCAAGGGATGTAAAAACTGGAACCCTCATGGCTGTCAAACAGGTAAGCAATTTCTTAATCATTTATGTTTATTATTTTATTGCGATTAGTTGTTTCAATATGGAAATAAAAAAGATGTTTGTATTGCCGTAAGCTGATTCTAAATATAATGTTGAAACACCAGTTCTCATATGATCAGCAAAGTTAAGCAATATCGATCCTGGTCAGTGCCTAAATGGATGACTGCTTGGGAATGTAAAGGTGCTGTAAACTTAGATATGTATGTGGTGTAATAGATAATGGCTCAGAATTGGAAATATTCCAAGCCATTCTAAAGAATATATTTATTAGCTTTAAATAACCTACAAATGGATGATAAGCCATAAAAAAACAAATCAATCCATCAATATATTTTTTTTAATCATCTCACCCCATACAAGACAGTGAAAGAATAATAAAAAAGAGAAACATTATTAAGGAATGAGAACAATGTAAGAGTAATCAAGAAGTCAGTAGATGACAATTGACATTGCATTTACATTTTTGAAGATCAAAGTTTACTGGGAAGCATGGAGCTAGAAGAATTCCACAAGTGAAAGGTGAGATAGAAGAAACTGTTAGCATGTACCTTATTGTTACATCTAGCCAATTCAACTCTAAATTGATGAGACCTTGCCAACAATACTGCACTTGAATTCATAAAGTCTAGGTACCATAGCTGAAAGTTCATCAGAACAGTTACCATGAATCTATTTATAGAAAAGGCACAGGGAAGCTACATTATGGTGGTGGGAAAGATGCTGTTTCTCATTTGGATTTTATCAAGAATACAGCAGGAGCACTGACCTATATGTGGCAGCAATATTCAAAACAAAGTTGAATGGTAGACTTATAACTGAGTAAAATAGATTCAGGAGAGAAAAATTGTCTAGTGCAACACAGTGAACCAACTTTCTTAGCAGCAGACCCAGATTAAATCTATATGCCTCAGGGCAAGCAGTAAGGCATGCTGGGCTAAACAGTGGCTCCTTCTGCCCTGAGGGACACAGATTCGATTCCTGCCTTAGGGCACAAATTTTTTTCTTTAATTAAATTTCTCAAATATTCAGGTTGTAGGTGAAATAAATAGCATGTTTAATAAATAAACGGAGTGCCTACTCATATACAAGTATCCACTAAAAATAACATTTAAAGTGATACATTTTTACTTATGCAATTTTCTAAAAATATCTTATTCAAAACAAACTATACAGCAATATTTTAAACCTTCCTTAATTCTTTTAAAAGAAAAATTGTTTTGCATACCTTCTATAAGGATTTATAAATCTGTCGTTTTTATTAAAAATCTTTTCGCCTTTTCAGATTTCCTTTTGCCGTAATACTGTAGAAGAACAGGACAAAGTAATTAAGGTTGTGACGGAAGAGATTCGAATGATGGCTGAACTTAACCACCCCAATGTTGTTCGGATCATGGGAGCCACACGGCAGGGGTGCCATTTTAACATGTTTGTGGAATGGATGCCAGGTACTAACAGAAATTTTTTTTTACTCATTTTGTCATTGTTATTGACTGATTGATTCAGTGTGACTATAGAACTTACCTTATAAACTTACTCCTTCCAATTTCTGAGCAAATTTGTTTTATAAGTTCCACTGGTATTTCTATGCTAAAAATATCAGCTTATACACACATGCAAATATGGAAATGTCACAGTAAAAATTTGGATTTGTATCATTTGAAATATACAAAAAAAAATAGTAAAAATTGTAAACTCATTCATTAGCAATGTCAGTAATAAATTTTAAAAGTGTATTATTTCTTAAGATAATAAAAAATATGTTAATAGTTATGAGAGTTATCTTCCATCAGCATGGCTGATGCTAACCTCCAAAGAGTGATTCATTGCACCTTCTCAGACTTACGTTTTCAGCTGACATGAAGTGGAAAGAGTATGTTGAATCAGTTACTAAGTCTGCAGCTAAGAATGTTACAATTGTACACTACAATTTTTCTTGTTTGAATCTCTCTTACATATTTATAAGTCTACTATTCATCCATGCTTTGAATATTGCTGCCATATCTGGTTTGGTGTTCTTGCTATATATTTAGAGATTCTTGATAAAATCCAAAGAAGAATCTGAAATGTTATTGATTCTAACCTGGCATCCCAGTTTCATTTCCTTTCCTACTAGCATAAGCTATATGTAATTGTAAGTTCTATGATAACAATTTCTTCTATTCCACCTCAGTTGTGGAAATCTCTTCCAGCTTCTTGCTTCCCAGTCAACTTTGATCTTCAAATATTTAAATGCAATGTCATTCATTATCTTCAGTTTTCTTAATTCTTTTTTCTTTTTATTTCCCTCTGTGCTTAATAGTAGTTTTTCTCATATTCCCTAACACTCAGTAACCCCTTGTGTCTTAGTGTCTTTATTGCCTTGCCTGGGGTGAAATGATTTAAAAAAAAAAAACTGTATATCTCAGTAAATATTTTTATTCAATGTCATAATTATTTTACAGGTGATTATTAAATCCATTTTCTTTAATTCATCAAATAAACTAGTAAAGCCCTTTACACTGGTAATTACACTTGATCCATGCCAGATTTACATATGAACTGCAGTCCAGGCCCCCCAAGAGTAGAGAGGCCCCCCAAGGGCCCACTAGTTTTGAGCTCCTGATAAAACTAAAAAAAATAAAGATATAAGAACAGAAGAGATTTGTTTATTTTCAGATTTAATGGAGCTCCTTTGAACTAATTTGAAACCATTTAGAGTATTTGAGCCGCACTAGTTGAAGTAAGTCTGTTGAATTTGATGGGGCTTCTTGAGTGTGCCCCATTTAGATGTCAATGCATCTATTTTATACATATAGATTTTTGATGTAGTTTTTTTTAGTTTTGCATAATTTTGTCTACTTTGCCCAATTTTTGATCAATTTTACATTTCATTGAACACAAAAATATAATATGTGCAAGATTGCTCAATATTGTACACCAAAAAATCATCATCTAAAAATATTTCTTTTTTTTTTTCTATAGATGCTAGTGGAGGAGGGGGGGGTTGAACATATATAATGACGGTGTCTCTAAATTCTATTCCCAGGAGCCTCTTAAGCCTTGCACTTGATCCATAATATTTTTTAGAATTTTAATAATATATGCCTACTTCTTTTTTTTTTCCCTGTCAGGATGTTGGCAATCATGGCTCTCCATAACTTCTTGTCTATTGTAGCTCTTAATAAATTTTTTCTTTTTTTTTTTTATCTCATCTAAACCATGTTCTGCCATCCATTTACTGACACTCACTAGGTAGGTTATACATTGTTGTACTCTGTCCCTCTAACCTTTGATCTATCATTTGAGTATCAAATTTTCCAAGCCGTCTTTCCTCATTATGTACCCTAGAAATTTCAACTATGTGTTATAAAATTGTTTGATATTTATTTTGTTAAATGGATTTTAAAAAAATGATAGTCAAGTTCTATAATTTCTTATAGCTAAACAATATTTTCTTCATCTTTCAAATATTTTTTGTTTATTTTTCAGGCGGATCTGTGGCAAACCTTCTGGCAAAATATGGAGCCTTTTCTGAAACAGTTGTGATCAATTATACCCACCAAGTCCTTCGGGGACTTACTTATCTTCATGAGAATCATGTCTTACACAGAGATCTCAAAGGTAATAAGTGATACTAAAACTAGAAAAATTAGCAACATATTTTATGTCTGCCTACAGAAAATATAAAGTCATTTGAGGAGCAAATTATTTGCTTGATAATTCCTCACCCCAAATTCCATAAATCGATTTCTATTTAGATTAAAAAATTCTATTGTCCAAGTCTCATTTTAAATAAGCCTTTGCATGAAATTATCAGTGAGCTGTTATTTTTTAGTTACATAATTTTTTTTCATTGTAGGCATCTGTTTATCTCATTTGATAATAGTAGCAGCCTGTTTAGTCAAAATTCAGTCCTTTTCTGAGTAGTATATGAAGTGATTTAACAGTTCGATCTTTGCATGGCAGTTTCTTCTGCAGGTGGGACAGATTGAGCTGAAATCTGGAATGTCAGAGATTACTGTCTTTGCTTCCTATATTGTCTTTGGAATTGCAACCGTTCATTTCACTTTTTATCACTGTTCATGACTCTTCCTTGAACAGCATAATGCCAGTTACTGCAATTGTCTGCTAGCTGTTCCCAGCTAAAAGATTTCCTTGAAATGTAGTGCAGTACAGCCTACGAAATGGTGTCCTGCAGCCAACTCACTGTACATGATGTCTTTTGGTATACAACTGTCATTCATTCAATGTACATGACCCAGTCATTGAAGATGATGTTGACAGAGGAGAAGATGCATTCACCAGGATTCTGCTTGCTCCAGCACATTAGTATTGATAATTTTGCCTCTCTATGTAATACATTGTTGGCACCAGAGATGGAAGCTTTCTAAGCAGTTTTCCTGTCTGGTGTGTCATTCACCTTTCACTGAAAACTAAAGACACATGCCTAGAATAATTTCAGTTTGGTGCACAAGGTCAGCTGAATGTTGACTCTTACTCTCAAGCTCAATTTGTCCATTTCTGTACTTTAGTGATGTATTTGTTAATTTCCAGGTCAAGCAATAGGTTCCTGGTGATGTGAAGTGATTTGTTACTTCAACTATCATGTCATCGATGCTGATTGATAGAGATGCAGGAACATCCTGACCCACGACATTTTCTTCTCTTTGTTTTTTCACAAGATTTTGAAATTGCTTATCCATGCTCACTGACTGTACCATTACTCACAGCTTCACAAACTTATTATACTCAGTTTGTAAAGAACACTGAATTTTGCTTCTTTTTTCTTTTAACTTAAAATTTGCCTTGGTTTTGGTATTCTATGTTATACAGTAAAAATCAAGAAAAAGGGGATTTGTCAGTGGTCAGGAATTAATATTAGTCTTACTGCCAGGATAGATTTATATGTATATTTTATCCACTGTTCAGGGGCCAATCTGTTGGTGGACAGCACTGGTCAGAGAGTTCGTATTGGAGATTTTGGAGCTGCAGCCCGGTTAGCATCCCAGTCCACTGGAGCAGGAGAATTTCAGGGACAATTATTGGGAACAATAGCATTCATGGCTCCAGAGGTAAAGTAGCACTTTTTTTCTTCAGTAGTCTCTAAATACCTATTTATATATTTATGAAATAGTATAAACTATCTATTTAAAAGAATTATCAGAGGTGATGTAGTGCTTACCTAAACAGCATTTTGAGAAAACAATGTAAGGAACAGCATGCAGATTTTAGATGGAGGTTGCTTATATTGACTTTGTATTAATACACTTGAAAAGGCATGAATCCGGTTCTCCCTGTGATCTGTCTTACAGCTAGATACCTTGAGAAATAAATCTTGCCTCTGGCATGACACAATGAATTAGGAAGAAGAAAGGGGATGAGTAAGTAAACCACCCTCCACATCTACAAAAGAAGTAGCAGAAAAGAAAGTTATTCATCAACAAACGAAGCCAGTATGAATAAGATGATGTATTAAGTGCACAAAAATAGAAAGGAATATGTCTTCTCATCAGATTAAATCCACCTCTACCGTGCTAACACTAACCCGGCCAAAAGGTGTCAAAGGGAGATGGAGATCCTATCCATATTTATTATTGCTGAGCACAATCTTAACAATATAAGGTATGCAGATAACACTGTGTTGATGACAGAAGCAAAGAAAACTACAGAATCTCCTTTGGGATGATGGCATAATGAATATAGGAGTTGGTTATACATGTCTTACTGTCATTCAGTGGTCATAAGTTCAATCCTTGAATCAGTTAGTGAAACACCAATTCAAGAGGAATGAACAATAACTGATATCACAAGGACAAAATATCTCTAAGCAACAGATGTCCCATATCAGCCAATCATCTGATGATGACTAGAGAGTACTTGGTCAAAATATTGTCTATAATAACATCTATATCAACCAAGATGAGAACAATAGTTTGAAATAATCCAAGAATATTGACAATTAGTCAGAAATTAAATACTAAACAGAAATGTCATTCTACTGAAGAATGCTGAGAATATATGGATGGTGCATGTAAGTAATGAGGAAAACATTTCAAGTTTCTGTAACATATAATGGGGAAAAGAAGTTCTTGAAAAATTTGACACTTACAGGACATGATGAAGACAACAAGGACAGAACCTACCTGTGAGTAACCTACTTAACGAGCTTGTGTAAATGTATGGACAGAATCAGGGTGTAGGAGGGTTAGTAAAATGACAAACATTTCTAAGGGCTACATAAGATATAAAGCTGTGGAGAGCCATGATCGTCTATGTCCTAAAGAGACAGTACATAGAAAATGTAATTTATATAATGTATATAGAGTGTATTTGAGCAGCAATTTTTCATTTATGCAAGTTTGGTTGAAGATCAACCAAAGTTCTTTAAGATATTTTTCATTTAATTTTTTTTATCATTCATATCATCTTTCTGGTTTCCAGGGAGAATTTAAACTTCAATTGTTCTATTTCTTCCACTGCTTTCAGCTTTCATCAAACTTTTATTTTTGTGTTAATAGGATTGACTCTGTGTATATGCATTGTACTTTCTTTGATAAGTTTTGCATGTTGTGTCTTCACACATCAGTGATTGTCATGTCGATCTTACATATTCATATATCATTTAATTCAAACAACAACTTTATCAACTATTTTTTGTGATTTCAACAAACACTCGTCACTTTTGTGATGTCAATGAATAGTTGTTGTCACTTTTGAAATGCTCATTGTAGTAGAGACTTGGTAATTACAGATGCAATTATAGTATGCCGTTGAACAATGCTGGTGTCAGACACCTTCAAATAACACTTGTGCTAATAGTATTTGATCAATAATACTTGCTCGGAAGTAACCACCAGATAGTAATCAGTATAAAGAAATAATATAGAGAATAGCGGTCTGTATAGTAATAGAGGACAGAGTAGAAATAGCAATCTATATAGTAATAGAGGATAGATTAGAAATGGCAATCAATTAGACATTACACTACCTCCAATATATGTGTTTCCTCTATGATTATGTGGTCTACTTAATTCAATAATGGGATTGCCTATGTTTGTTCAATGGCGATCAATGTTCAAACTCAAGTGTCGGCAGCAGCACTTTATCTAACACTATTCCAGGTACAAACTGACTGAACAGCCAAAGGAATTCCTCAATTTAAGACCTAATTTCTATATCTCCACAAAATACAATCCTAACTCTGCCAAATGTTGTCTATGAAGTCACTTGCCTACTTGGAGAATATCTCTCTATTAACAATTCAAACATGTAGATTGGTTACACAATTATTACATTATCATGCTGGTTAACTTGCCATTTATCAGCTAATAACTAATTCAAATCACCACCCAACACAAGAAATTTAACAAATACCTATAAATAACACAAAAATACTACACTACATAAACTGTAAAAATATAAGTAGAGAAGAAAACTAAAACAAACAAAATGAATGATACATCATATATTGACATATGAAGAGACAATGCTTGAAAACTACCAAAGAAAACACAATGGATGCACATAAACACAATATGATAAAAAAATAATACAAAAATACTCTTTGATAATGGCTGGTGAAAGTGCTATGTTATGTAGATGCGAAAAATTTATTTTTAAAGTCACATAAACTTTGAAAGTTTCAAACAAAGGAAAAAAGGGTTCAATTTAACCTTTTCTGGACCAGTGATTATTTTTTTTTTTTTTTTTTTAAGTTATGTATTTTTTATTTTTCACATGGGAAATTTATGTCAAATACAATTCTTATGTTAAACAATATTTTATTTTCACCTAACAATTTATGTAATAATAGAAAACATATAGAATTGCATATATAATATATATAAGTTATTTTCAGATAGAGTATATCTGTAAAGGAACAAAATGAATAAAAAAAACTAAAAAAAACTATTCTTAGTTGAAGTGTTTTGTTCTCTGAGGAACTTTATCAAGGTAATGTAGGATTTATTTTGTTGCATGTGTTTATATACAAAAGCAAGGATGACATAGGTTTCTCAAGGCTTTTAAATTTGAGAACATTCATGAATGTTCATCAGGTAGTTAAAAGCTCAGGTTATGACACTTTGTGTCTTCCACATGTTTTGACTGACCATTAGTCTGTAGATTCTGGTCATTTACATGTAAAAAAAATAGCTGTTGTGAAAATTATTTTTATTTAATTTCTTGTATACAAATTGAATAATGCTTTCCCAAAAAATTATTTCTAAGCAGTCTTCTGATTTGTTTTATTTTTACATTTAATTTTTTTAGGTTCTCCGAGGAGAGAGCTATGGTCGAGGTTGTGATGTCTGGAGTGTTGGCTGTGCAATGATTGAAATGACAACAACTAAACCTCCATGGAATGCCAATGACATATCAAACCATTTGGCACTCATTTTCAGGGTAACTTTTGTTTTCATTAAATTCCATTTTACACTTCTTGTCTCGTGCAATATTATCTCTAAGTTGATAAGAAGCAACAAAAGGATAAATATATTTGTTAAATATTGCCTTCCACATTAATTCCTCATTTTCACCTGTGAGAATTCTACAGTTGTGGGCATTGACTCAAATTAGAAGTAAAATTTCTTTGATTATAAATGACAAGTAAACTTATTTTACAAAGATAAATAGGAGGAAACGGGTAACAGAAAGATTGTATTTTGGTAGACTACCAAGTAATGAAAGCATTTTCATGGGCTTTCAAGAGATGAAAGCATTATGAAGAAATTCAAGAATGTCCAAACCACGACAAACTTCAAAGAATAAGGGAGGAAACCCCAGGTGTGTCCTCGGAGATGTCAAGATCAATTCAAGAATCATCACCATGGATATTGTGGCTGCTTTGAATGACTCTGGTATCAAAATATCTTAGCAGACCCTACAGCTGGAATCCTTGAAAAATGACCAGGAAAGACATCAATACTAAAAAAAAAACTCTACATTTTACTAAGTATCTTCTTGTCAAGGATTCAAGCTTTTGGTCATCAATTCTTTGGTCAGATGAAGTGAAAATTGAGTTTGTTGGGAAAGGTTATGAACATAAGTTAAATGAATTGAACATTTAAAAGAAAAAAATGAATGCTACCCGTGGAAGATTTTTATGCATATATTTTATATAAAGAATAAAATAGCTTTCTAAATGGAAAATTACATTTAGAAGTATAGATAACTGAAACAAAGGGAAAAATAAAAACATTTATAGGCTTAGCTGTTAGAAAATATGTGTATGTGTTTATGTGTGTGTATGTGAGAGAGAGGGTGGGGATACACCACAGGGCTGGGATGAAATTTAGTTTGCTGCCCAGAGGAAAAAAACTTCTTGGGTGGGATTGGATGACATTTACCTACCACATTCTTGAGTAAAAATAGAAATAGAGAATTTATGTCCTTCCTTTTATAGTCCTGAACAGTACCACATAGCAGTGTCCATCAAACAAGTTTCTTGTTGGTGAAAAAGTGATGTTTCCAACCCAAATAATACTGAATATGATAGTGGCAACATTATGATATGTGAATATTTTTCAGCCAGTGGACAGTAGCCTGGATATGATCATGAAGAATGGACAATAATATATTCAGATTTGGGACTAAAACATGAAACAGTCTGCTGAAAAACTCCAGCTGGAACTTTACTTTGAATATTTATTGGGACTCATGTTCACTCCAGATCTCAAGTGGAACTCATATATATGATCCATCACTAAAGGGGTTGGAAAAATAATCAGTTGTTTGTATGGCTCCAGGAAATATTGGACTTCTCCTGCTTTTCTCTATCTTTACAAGATAGAGATTACTGACCAAAAATGGAGTATTGCTGTCATATCTGGGCCACAGCTGCTTAGTCCTCACTTTCCAGCCTTGTTCAAAAATGTCTATGTGGCTTTGTGGGCTATGAATTATTTTCTGCACTACAACTCCTTTCCCACAACTTGTGTTGCCTCTCACTACTATACCACTATTTCCATAGAAAATGTTCTAACAAGCTATATTCCTTAGTTCCTCCAGTTCAGACCTTTACCATTAAGATTTGCCATTCAAGGTTGAATCCTCCTCATTCTCTTTTTATTCCATTGTTAAAAAGGAAGTTCTGTTCTCTGAATAGAACTTTCTATGGTCTTCCTGATGTCATCAGTTCTCAAGTAGGCATCTATGCAGAAAATGCTACTATTTACTATTGTCTCAATAGTAAATCCGGCAATGCTGACAAAGTTAACCTGGCCACTGATCTTGAAAAGGACCTCCAGTCAGTAGTTAACTGGAGCAATAAATAGCTTGTAAATTTTAATGCTTCCAAAACTAAACTGCTCTCATTTAACCGCTACAGAGAAAGTTCCCTGCCTTCCACCCCCCACCAGCATGGTTGATGCTTGACTCCGTGAGAATGTCTCACTGCACCTTCTTGACCTCACGTTTTCCAATGACTTGAGGTGTAACAATTACATTGAATCAATAGCTGCATCTTCTGCAAGAAAAGTCAGTTCACTGTGTCATGTCAGAAGGTTTTTCTTGTCGGAGTCCATCTTACACATCTACAAATCTACCATTTGTACATGCATTGAATATTGTTGCCATATCTGGTCTGGTACCCCTGCTGTTCATCTCAAGGTCCTTGACAAAACCCAAAGAAGGATCTGCAATGTAATCAGTCCTGACTTGACATCTCGACTTCAGTCACTTTCTCATAGATGTGATGTGGCTTCCCTCTGTCTTTTCTACAAATATTTTCATGGCAAGTGTTCTGATGAGCTATTTTTCCCTGATGCCCTGACCACATGAATTTAAGCATGCTACTAGATTGGCATCTAGGTCCTGTCCTTTTACTGTTGAAATAGTTAAATGTAACTGCCATTTCTACTCCAGCAGTTTCTTTTTTCACACTTCCCAACAGTGGAACACCCTTCTTCTTACTTGCTTCCCTGATAACTCCGATCTTCAAAAAGTTAAATGCAATGTCAATCGTCATTTTCTATTGCCCTGATTCGCATTCTTCTTTTATCCTTTCCTCAATCCCCTCTATACACAGGTTTTTCCCTTACTTTCATTCTCTGCAACCCCCTGCATACTTGTGGCACTCCCATCTTGTTTGGGGTGAATTGCTTTAAAAAAAAATTTGTGAAACAGACTCACAAGAGAATGCTTCCCCAATCACTACAATCTTAATCTCCTCAATTCTTGAGTCAACCATTATCTACTTTCAACTACCTCTACCGTGGGTGGCTCTTAAGCCTTGTATCAGATGAACAACAGTAAAAAAAATAATCATAGCTAACAAAAGCTTTCAAATTGATTATTGAAATATCAATATGGTTAATTTTAGATATGCCTTTTGTAACCAAATTGTAAAAAAATACTTCAATGAAATAGTTTTTCTCCATATTCCTTTTGCATTGTTTCTTTTAATCTTTTTTTTTCAGTTTGAGTCTGAAATAAAGGCATTCCTTTAATGAAAATATATCTAAAAGTGATAAATTTATCTGGATTTTGAATAATTTTGAGCATACCTGTATATATTTTCATCTTATTGAATTAATTCAGTAGATTTATCTGACCCTGATGAGCACTGTATCTGCAAGACTTCAAGTCAGAAAGATAAGTCTTTTGAATTTTTCTTTATCTATTGTTGCAAATTTGAATCAATCCACAAAGAAAAAGGCAAGAAAGGTGTTTAAATATAAAATATTTTTATTTTCATGTTTTTACAACTAAATTTTTCTTAGCGTGTATAAGTGTTAAAGTTCTTATAGTCCTTGTTTGTAGTTTAAGATGAAAAGAAATTTAATTTATTCATGTGTATGTGTGAGAAAAAAAGGCAAGAGAGAAAGTGAGGAGGAAAGTGTAAGTGTCACATAGTTTAGTGAGGAAGACAAGTGAATTAGTAAGGGAATTTCTTTTAAGCTGTGTGTTCCGCGAACTTGCTGTTCCTTCTCCTTCCTGGTTTGTCTGGTCTAGAAACTTTGCTTATATACCCTTCAAAGGAATCACAAAGCATGTCTTTTATTGTTGGCAGGAAGGTGACCGATGGGTTGAAAAATGTTAAATATTTATTTTCAAAGCATTAATTTATTAGCTGGAAGGATGTGCAAATCCTCCAACTCAGAAACTATTTTTTGTCATTTGGTGTTTGATTGTTTGATTTCCATTTTCACTCCACACTAAATTCTCACTTTATTGAGTATCCTTCTACAATATTTGCTTACCTGACTGATTCCCTCCTGTAAATTATTGTTTCTTTCAGATTGCCTCTTCTGTAAGACCGCCTCCAATACCTGAAAATCTGTCGCCAGGTGTACGGGATGTGATGCTGCGCTGTCTGGAAGTGAAATCCGAAGATCGTCCATCAGCAAAAGAGCTCCTTACACATCCTGTTTTCATCCAACATCTCACCCGGTGACATTAAATCCAAACATTAGCAATGACCTCCATTCCAACAATACACCCCTCTTTCCTTTGCAACTATTACTACTGCTTGCTGGACATGCTGTACCTCAATCACGACTGCACTGGACAATGGACAATTAGGTTTACTACTCGTCCTCTGTCCACTGCATGCACAATGTGAATGACAAAAGAAACAAAAACGTTCGTTTTTTTTATATATCTATATATCAACTCTTGATGAAGGGCAATGATTCCTTAAAGGTACAGATCCTTAATAATTAAATACATAACTTGATATGTCTGTCTGCATAACCTCTCTTTCTCCCACATGCACATTATATATATATATATATATATATATATATATATATATATAGCGTATGTGTCTGTTTGTTATCTTTCTACAATATTTGTTGTCATTCAGAAGAAAATGTTGTTTGGCACCAACTGTTTCAAATTTATACACTGCTGATTTTTTGGATGGATTTTGGTGGAAGAAAATATCTATATAGATTCTTAAAATATATAATTTTGTACATTTTTATATAATTTACACAAAAAAGAAATCAAAAATTAATATTTTTAAATAAAAACAAAAAACCTAAATAAATAAGAATTGGTGGAAAAGAAGCAATTGGTATTTTTTTAATTAACATTAGAAAAATACAAAGAAATTCAAGAGAAAGATAATTTTTCTTTCTAATTCTTTTTCATTTTTGAATTTTTAAAAAAATTTCCTACTTGCCTTATCAAAGGAAGTCTGTTGATACTATAAAGAAACCTGATGCATATTTCCCTGTCACAGAAAAAGTGCTATAGTTTGTGTGTGTCTGTAATTGTGTGTGTGTATGTATATATATATATATATATATATATATATATATATATATATATATATAATGATGATAAAAAGTACTAACTTGAACATTCAACTGTCTTAGTGAATTGAAGTTTCATGTGCAGAGAGACGAGCTTCACCGAACATGATCTTCACACAGAAAGGATAGAATTCTACTATTCTAATATATTTATTATATCTAATATTCTAATCTATACATACATACATATATATATATATATATATATATATATATATATATATATATATATATATATGAATGATGATAAATTGTAGAAGTCTACTATCCTTTGTGACCACCTGAAGATTGTGTTTGGTGAAGCTTGCTTCTCTGCATATGAATTTTTAAGTTGCAAAGACAGCTAAAAGTTCAAATATATTTTATCATCATTTATAGCTTGCTCTGTATCATTTTATATATTACATTGAGTTCTATTTTTTGTAACATCAACTTGATTTTATACACACCTTACATATATATATATATATATATATATATATATATATATATATATATGTGTGTGAGAGAGACAGATCATGACATAGCCACACATCTCTCCATCTCAATTTAACTTCTGAAAATCATAAAACACTGAAACCATTTAAGTTACTCTAAATAAATATTCTTAAAGACTCCAGTTGCATTTTATAACACTCTCTTTCTGGCCATGAGACTCTGGCTTGGAACTTACCATGGTCAATTTGTCAGGAAGTCAACACTTTTAGATGTTATCAGTCTGGGGATGTGATTCCATTGTGTGACACCTTTGGAAAGTGCCTGGAAACCATGCCACAGCTTGTCACAAGCTGTGTAAATTAAATTGGATAGACAGAACTATTCGAAAGCCATTTATTGCTGTGCTAGCACAAAGTCACAAGTCATCATGACTGAGGGTTTGAGCATATTGGTGTTGTTCAAATTGCTGATCATGCCCAATTATATGCTCTCTCTCAGAAACTGACTAAAGTCCATTCAGCATAGTTGTAGTAAATCACAGGTGGAGTCCATAGGTTTTGAACAACTCAAACGTACTTGAGCCAGTGTGTGTAACAGGGATTGACCAGCCACCCTAACAGACAGATGTGCTCAGAAAATGAGTAACTGGCCATTTTATTTATATATATATATATATATATAACGATATTTGAGAAAGTGTAAAAAGTTTTCATGTGACGCATTTTGTTCATTAGGACTTAATCAGACTAGGATCATTTAATTGATATAACTACACATGAACATGAATGAGAGATGATAGGAATTTTAAATTAAAAAAAAAAATTCTAAATTTAAAATTCCCAGCATCTCTCGTTCATGTGCATGTGTAGTCACAACAACTTAAATGAAACTAGTCTGATGAAGTCCTAAGGGATGAAATATGTCACACAAAAACCTTTTTTTGTAATTTTTTTTCTTTTCTGGGCATAAATTATATAGAAATTTCTACAAATGTTCTATATGACTGGGCACTTTCATCATCTTTGATAATGGTTAAAAGTATAATCAAAAGTGTTTCAGCATACAGAACATTTGAATAATTTCTACATAATTTATGTCCAAAAAAGAAAAAGTTATACAAACACAAGAAAAATTAAATAAAAAACTTGTAACATTTAGAAATGTATAAATTTGCTGCCCCAAAACACAATTTTATATATATATGTATATATATATATATATATAAAATACAATAATGTACATTAATTGGAATGATTGATCAGATTTAAATGATTACTAAGGAGACTGCTCATCTTTTTTGGAAAACTGAAAATCTCTCCTCAGAACTTTCCAGACTGGTGCCACAATGTTTTAGTGTAAATATTTACCTATTCTTTCTTAATTAAATGTTTCTTTATTTCTTTCTATATACATTTTGAAAACTATATTTGCATTGACTAACATAATTTAAGTAATGTATCACAAAATATTTTTAAAATGTGTATTGTCAATGCAGAATTGTTTGAAAATTTACATTCACTTGAGGATAAACATACACACCAAACTAAATATTTTTTCACTTCAAATCCATTTGCTACACAAATAGTCTTAATATTTTCAGGTGAATGACATGTTTACTTCAGAATGTACATGAGTTTTTGCAAATATGAACAAACTGTTGGCACTTTTTCTATTACTGAATACAAAGAAAACATTTTTTCTCTAACAATCAAATGAATTGATTGTAGCCTGTGCGTGCCTTTTCCAATACTTTTGAATGGAAAGATCATCTCTTTTTCTAAATCATCCTTTCATATTCAAACTGCTGTTTGTAATACATTTTTGATGAATACACTGATTAATAAATCAATTTAATTCTATTACAATTTGTATGGCCAATATGGGCAGTCATTATATTATTTTCAAAACCTAAAGTTTTAAACATGTTTTTCTTTAAACAAAGAATATTTAGATAATTCTCTTTCTGGAATTTGCTATTCTTTTGCAATTCAAATAAGGGATCTTTTCACCTTTTGCAAATATTCAAGGCTTTTTTTATGCCTGTAATAAATTACAGTTAAAATTAAAAACAGAAGCTTTTATTCACAGACACTAAATTTAATTTTAATATTTTATTAAATGATTTGGCTTAGAAACATTTTTTGCATAACTTTAATAAAAATTGATAGTTTCTCAAGACATAATTTTAATACATTATCAAAAACAAAAATTAGTCTATCATGACTTTTTCTAACAATTCCTGCTTGATTTCTCTCTGTTCAATTCACACAAGGTTTGATTCCATCTGCTGAAAAACATTTTTATTTTACCATTGAAATCCTGAAGAGTTTTAATCTCCACCATAATCAGTCCTTAATAATTATAGCTTCTTTTTTTTTTTTTTTTTCAGTGAATTTCAATACTATTTTATCATAGTCACTCATCAAGAGAAGATATTTTTAAAAATAATTTCAGAATTTAAAAAAAAAACTGATATTTTTTTTATTTGAATTTTTCTTCTTTTTTGGAAATGTCACTGCTGGATTTTTAAACAGTGATATTTTTAAAAAGAAAAGATCTAAGCAAAAAGAAATGAATTGAAAAATTTATGTATGCATGTATGTATGTATGCATGTATGTATGTATGTATGTATGTATGTATGTATGTATGCATGTATGTATGTATATATGAAATGAGAAGAAAATACCATTTATTGGGAACAAAAAAAGTATGGATGCAAAATCATCAGCCATCATTCCAAAGTAGTTGCAAAAATAAGAAAAAAAACAACCTTTTTTTTTATGTATATAGAGATTTATTTTGTGTTGTAAATGACTGAGTGATCAAGTGTGGGAGGGAGGGTAGAATAAGGAAGGAAAACAAACTTAAAACACATGAAGCAAGCAAACATTCTTCCTCCTCCTCTTTTCCCCCTGCACTACAAATCACTTCATCCGCATCACATCACCGATCACGTATTTTTGATGAGAAAATAAAAAATGATTTTTAATGAAAGAGAATAACAAAGACTTCTTGATTCTCCCTTGACTTGCTTGAGACAATTTTTTTTTTTTAAACAAGGAAAGACATTTTGATTTTTCCCCACTTTACACACATCATGTTCACCCAAAACAAGCATTGTAATCTAATTTGTATGTACTTATGTATATATATATATGTTGGTATGTGTGTGTGTGCAAGTGTATTTTAATGCGTGTTGTATATTTAATGTGAGTGCATGGATTCCTGTAAAGGTAGCTTCACCTATTATCTCCCTTGACCTATCAGACATGTGATTGTCTTAACCTTTTCACCACTACAACCCCCTCGTCAGCCCTCTTTCTCCCCATCATTTTCCTGTGTCATGTCATAATGCAGGTATTTTTTTTCATTGTTGTTGCTACTACTGCTGCTGTTGTCTTGCAAAATACGAGTTTGTTTTTTATTAATTTTTTTTGTCTACCCCCTGTAATTTTTTTTTACTGTTATAACCTTCTCCTTGGCCCTAACAACTCCCATTAAAGCTAGATTCTGTTGTTTTTTTTTAACTAAGACTAATTTTTAAAATTTTCAAATTACTGAATTTAAAAAAAAAATCTTTTAGATTTGTCACTGAAAACTAAGGAAAATAAAAGAATTCTGAGTTCATCAGCATAGAAAATCTATAAAAGGAAATAAAAATTAACTTGTTTTTATATATATATATATATATATATA